AAGACAACAAGCTCGAATGCAAAATTATCTGTTTATTTTGATGCACGAGTGTAATTTTTATGAATATTTCCTGAGTAAACAAAGTAAATGTGGATTCATTTGATTTCTATTATATTTTATTACACTGTTAATTTTATTACTTATGTTTATTAAATATAATTTGAATATCTTAGGTATGTCAAGAAGACATTTTATGTCTAATTCAACATGAAAAGACACCTGTCAAATATTTTTCGTAAACAATGCAATTATCGTTGAGTGATAATTGCACACTGTGCAATTACCGCTGAAATTTTTCGAWAATTGCACACTTCAAACGGACAGATTATCATACGAGGGAAATATTCGACAAAATTAKATATGGACATGGCCGCCGTAGGCAAGTAAGAGAAGAAAATTTGGATTCGGTTTGAAAGCAAAACTCGCATATTTTGCAGATTTCGTATCGTATTCTTGAAATCAGTAAAAAATGTGTTTAGTAGTTTGCTTTAAATTACTTTAACAGGTCGGACATAAGAAATTAAAAGCATTTTTTCTAACAGTCTGTATATGAAAATAACATAGAGATCTATATTTAAACGACACATATTTTAAAATGTGTTTGTCTAACCATACCTGAATGAAAACTAGAGCACCCTACATACTACGAACAAAAATACCTAAATCAAGTGCCCAAAATGCTGTTTCTTAACGTCTTCACAGTCTTCGTTAACTTCTTTAAATATGTTTTGTCCAAATTTTCGGGTAACTTGTTGGATTATTTCAGCAGTCATTTAGCSGTATTTMTAACCATTATGWTCTCGCAAAACTTCCAAATTTTCCGTTAAGATTTTGACMAAGTTTKATCAATCAGACAAYTTGACTAGTTGAGCACCTAAAATACCAATTTTCGTGTTGTTCWMAACGCTGTAAACAGCMAATAATTTGTTAGACTTCTGGATACAAACATTTTACAAATTAGGAGAAAAGCTGATACCAAAAAACTCCTAAAAGACATACGAAATTTAAAAAATCAACATTTCCATTTAAGGCATTGATATATGTAATTTAAAAGGTGTTAGGAATGGAGATGATATCAAGACACAAATGGTGCTTTTAGTACTTAAATATGTCGCTTAAATCAATGTAAATGAGACATATAGAAGTTTGTGCGCAGGTATAGCTCTCAACGTTATCACCTCTTCAACTACATTATTCAATTTAATCACCCCATTCCTGATGTTTGACAATGGAAACACGAAATTCGAAAGCACTGGTGATGGCCAAAATATATATATATAAAGTAGCTGAAATTTGTATAAAATTGTCGTTTCAAGCAAAATAGTGTTTTTTGCGGCAACCTCAATATACTTATATGTATAACGTGATTCCGATCACAAACAAGCCACACCCTTCCAAACTCAATAAAAATATTGATGCGGACTTCTATGTGTATATGAAAGAACAATGCGCTGCTCGGAAAGATAACTAACAAAATTACACAAATATGTGCTATTGCAAAAACTAAAAGAAATCGCCAATTTCTTTTAAACTGATGATAATTTAACCGTAGTTTTCGTAGATATAGACATAAATTCATATGCAAATAAGTCGGGTATAGTAATAATTTTATTAATACGCCTTGTATTTATACTTTAAAACATAATATAATAATAAGTTGACAACACAGGTATCTGATACAGATTTACTATATAAAGTATCCTAAAATGTTTTTGTAGATTATCAATTAAATTAACTAGTTATTTCAATGGTAACTCATAAAGAAATAAATACGCAATATAGACAATAAGAATTATTTTGAAGTGCATAGCAAATCAGAAACTTCAAAATAAGTAAATTACAATACTAATTATACGATTGGTGCTTATCACATTGGCACAAATACAAATGCAAAATTAAAATACTGAAATAAATACAATTCTCTATAAACAATTAAAAACCGCTTTGGTTATTTTGCTAAAGTAAACTGGAAAAATTGATTTTAAATTAAAATATAAAAAAACATAGCAACTGTCTTCAGAACTTTTGAACACCATCTCCAGCTCGTTTAATGTGTTTGACAATAAAAACAGCAATACTTAATAACTTTATTTGTTGTTTATTTATTGTTCCTATTAAAATTCGCAATAAATAATAAACTTAATTATTGGGAACAATAAATCTAATTGTTAAATAAGTAAGAAACATTTTTAAGTTTTTTCAACTGTTTTAATAATTTATCGGAGAACATTATATGATGTGTTCCTAACACATGGTGTTTGACAAAATGGTGAATTCCAGTTCAATAGTTGTTAAATGCGTAGATACTTATTAATTTTTTGTAATAAATTTACGCTAAAATAGACACATTAATGCTAGGAATCAACAAACTTTTTTAAATCCTGCACTTCATTTTCAGTTATAAACCTACGGCTGCATAACTTTGTCTATCCAAGGCACAAATTTTTGAATGTTTGTATAAACACCTGGTAAATGTTCTCTGCCGCATCCGATTCCCCATGAGACTAAACCAATTAAAGTCCTCCGACCATCGATCGCCAATGTTAACGGTCCTCCAGAGTCTCCCTGACAACTATCTCGTCCTCCCTATTATGTTCATGTAAATATAATATTGAACAAAATTCTCCACTATGTAGATACAATAATTAATCATATTTGTAATATCCGATATCGTAATGAAAATATTTCTTCTAGTTTACTCTCTCATTTATTAAACATTACTATTCATGGAACTGTTGGGTTTCTGCGTATACTGCACGATCTAACCATGGTAAATTAATGGAGTTAATGGTTTTATCAAGAATATCAACTCAAATTCCTCAAGAACTGAACAAAAGAAATGTGTTAGAACATCTGCTTATTGCCAACATTTTAGCTTCGTAGCAAAACATTTTTGTTGCCATTTTACAAATATATTTGAAAATCACCCAGCAAAGTATCATTACCTCTTTGTATCCGGCACAAAGAAAAACATCATGAATTGTTTCTCTTCGGCCAGCTGCTCTGAACCACTTCTGGCATCTGTCGTTGGTGATTACTTCAACATCAACCTCTTGAAGAACAGAAGGAACGGTTGCTTGACCATGCCGCGTTCTTCCCCATCCTGCTACGGTTGCCATTCTTCCGGGCAATTTCACCTAAAAGATAATATTTAATAAATAACTCAAAAAAATAAACAAAAGTTAAAACCGATGATGTTTTTTGTGGATTACATTGATAAGTTCTTTTTAAAAACGTGTCTAATACACTTTGAGTCATGCCATTATAAAATTGCCTCTTTAGCCAATATTTTCCCGTAAGTTACTCCCGAGGATACGTGGTTGTATTCCGTTTTTCGTCAATTAAGAATCTTTTGTTATACGTTAATGTTAAAGTTGATACTCACTGTGGGTGATGGCAGACAAACAGGAATAATATGTTGACGAAATCGTACTTTGCGATTCAGTTTCACTAGAGCAACATCGTTTTTAAAATCTGTCGGCGAATAGGAAGGGTGAACTTCTTTTCGTTCAACCTAGAATTATAATGTTTTAATTACCAAAGCAAAAATCAGTTTACAGTAGGCTTATATTGTGTTACCACATCTTCTAGCTGTTCTGCATAAAAAATACACTTTAGGTTTTTTGGCTAGGAGAAGGTGTTTTTCAATGTGTATGTTTTGTTCACACGTTTTTCGATATATATCAACTATATATTCTTAAAACTCTATCTGATCCATTTGGCATTTTTGGAAAGTATTTGATAAATAAATTCATTGATGTGGTTTGTTGGCGACCCTGGTGCTAACTGGTAAAATTGTTTGCGCTTATCGGTCAATAGATAGTGGCAGAAAACTAAATAATTATGTTTCTTAAGCCAACGTTTTGACTATATTAAAGCCATCTCAGGGTTCTAAAAAACTAGCTTATTAAACGGTGAACCGTAACACCTAAACATACATCGTTGAGCATAGTCATTAATATATCAAAAACATGTATGTGTTAGTAGTAAGTAAAGTAAAATTTAAGTAAGGAAGTGAAAAGTCACACATTTCCTACCAAATAAATATAATGAAGTAACATGCTGATAGGACAAGACTGAAACTACTTTTATACTTACCGAAAATTCCTCAAATCCATACTTTTCATCTTGGTCACGTACATCCCACTCTCCTAGTCGGATCCGGATGTTCCCATTCGTAGTGCTGCAACGAAAATTTGATTTTACTGGACTTTTAGTTTACTGCAAAGAAGTTCTTTCCTAGAAACTTTWCGATGCGCGAACCATGTAATTTGTGAATTTTGTTGAATGGAAAAGAGCAAAAGCAATTTTCCACGTGATCGTATTGTTTCCCWTTATACGCTTAGTTTTATGMAATTTGTTGRGAAAAAGTATTGTAGACTATRAAGAGTGAAGAGTTTGASTAACAGGTAATGGTGAAGTCTGACCATTGTCGGTTTTTAAGTCTACAAGAGTATTTTAATTTSAAAAAATYCCCCAAATTTAATTGAGTCAAATTTGGKGAATTTTATTTGAGTGAGRGATTGGAGCAAAGAATAAGTTTTTGTTTYTWARGWGCCACGTTTTAATGTTMAAATAAAGTTCACGAACATGACSTCCAGTTATACCTATGAGAGTCGCTACTCAAACTTTTACAATTTTAGAGTTTTATCAACGTTTTAGATTATAAAGTTTAAGAACATTTTTGTTAACAATTTTTAATCTACAAATGGGATTTGTGTTTTTGATAAAGTTATAAAGTTCTGCATAATGTACCTGTACAGTGGGCGAAAATGAGATTATAGATATGAGAAGACATACACTTACAGACAAGATGGACAAACAACCCCCACAACTGGGCCATACTGAATCCCCTTTGCCTAACAAGACAGACAAAACACACCCGTTTTCGTACCCCAACAAGTACTTTACTAGAACACCTACAAACGCAACTGGACTAACGACTAAAACCTGTTTGTTTTGTAAGCCAATAATTTTTATTATCACTGATTAGTTTATACGAGTGTTAGGAATAGGAATTAATTTTAGAATAAGCTAGGCTAAGACAAATATGCACTAAACAAGGACAGAGAGCATTTTTCTGTAGGAAATAAAGATTATTTATATATATCACTTTACATTTCATTTTCCCCGTTTTCATAGTTAATTAGTTAATAATTCGTGAAATATAGAAAGTGTCACTTAGTTCTTGTCAGTCCTTACTTTAAACAAAGTTACAAATATTCTGCTCGTATTTTTAAAAACTATTTTCCGAAATTATATGGATTAATTTATTCCCACTGRCTTTAAAAAGTAATTTAAAAACAGTACTTACCTGGCAACACAATGRGCTGCTGTTATAATCCATCTTTCATTGAGCAAAGCRCCACCGCAAGCCAATTTCTTTGTTAAAAGACCAGTTTTRATGAGCGCAACTTGCCAAGGGTGRGARCCAAAGCCCGTAGAATGGCCMCCAACTATCCTATTGGATCTTGTGTGAAGTTCTCCACAGCCTGCAAAAAAAWTCAACAATTACACACTATAAACAAAATGTAAGACGACCTGTAAACCATTCGGAATCTGCAGAGGAAAAGCGTGATTAATGAGAAAAATTGTGGTGMCCATAGTGCTKAAATATAGAAAATCATTGTGATGAGTACCTGACGGAACTCGAGAATGTGCTGCAAATCGGTGATAATTTTCAAATGTTTTAAAAGTATTTTTTCAATAAATCCTATTTTGTTGTCTTGTAAGTTTCTGAAATCCGAACTAAAAGTCCTTGATTAAACCGCTAGATTTAATTTTACAAGCAAATAGTCCTACCAGGTAACGCAATTAAATATGCCAGCGTAATCTCTATTATTCAAATTAGGAAGCAGCTTGCTAAAGAGAATCCCTATTAACTCAAATGCAAATCCGAAGTCAAACTTGTAAACCGTCTTTAAAACTCTGGAGACAAGTTATCTAAACTTTATCCAATTAAGAATAATGAGTTTCATCTTCCAATCAGTCTCCTGTTTTTCTTTCATTGACCTGGAAAGATCTGCAATGTTGTTGGAGAGATTCGTGAAATGGAGACATTAAGACACAGTTTCTTAATGTAATAAAATACATTGCATCTTCAATGCAACTTCGGAGTTAATGGTTCGTATTGAACTTTAAACTTTAGATAAAATGGTTTTGTTACTCAAACAATTGTTTGAGAAAAAAGATATGGAACAAATCGGCGTTTCTGCCCTATTAGTTTTATTATTATTATTCATGATTTACATTTGAAGTCATGAAATTATCGTCCGGTAGTTTTATCTCCAAACGGATGGTGTATATCTAGTCCACTCCATAAGTTTAGTTAATTAAAAAGGTAACTTTACTGCATATTTACTAATAAGTATTTTGTGGTCTAAAGAAACATACGTGCTTACTCAAGAATTTCTATATTTTATGCTTTGAGAAGGTACGTTATGTCGCATTTTTAAATAAAATAATAGTGATCATATTCTGTACATAAAACTACAAAGAAGCATAAATACAATGCATACAAATCATCGGATGCTTAGGGGATTTATATTTATAAGTGTAAACCGTGTATAATAAAATATTCTCATTCAAAATGAAACAATTTAACTGCATTGTTTATTTGACTATTCCTCTTAGCTACTCGTCAATTGCAACCGACTAGCTAAAGCTTAGCTTCGGAAGCTGAAGAAAGCACTTGCTATTTTACAATCTAAACGTTCCTATTCAAAGCATGGAATGCTCTGAATTTATACGACAAATTTACACAGACAATTCATTCATTCAATATTATGAGTTTTAAAGTTTCACTGATTTTTTGCTGAAAATAAATCTGGCGCTATGTCGACTGTTGCATAAGTAAAGTTGGTAACTCAAATTGCATTGAAGTTACACTAGTTTTGTTTCTTGGTAAGTGTAAAAACTGAGCTGAATATATTTTTAAATACATTCTCAATGTTTTTCCGACGAGATCCTAATTTCTTATTTGATAAATTCAAACATTCCTGTTTAGTCTCAATTGAAACGAATTATCTGCGTTCTATTCTTCTATTTTGATGCTTCTGAGACGGCCACTCACCACATTTACACCTTATTTAGTTCGCTCTAAATTAAATAGTAGAACTAACGTCCTGTTTTTATTTTTTTGGATTCCCATAATAAAATTGCGATTAACATTGCAATAGAATAGTGGAGTAGGAACATATTTACAAACTTGAAGAATTTAACAAGAACAAAGTTAGTGCAAAAGTGTATACCGAAGAACCAACCAACAAAATGTTAGTTACCCATATTCCCATACGGTTCAACGTAACCCAAAGATGATCCTTGATGGTAATCGTAGTCCGTGTCTTGCTCAAAATTGTTCTCCTGATGAGTGCTGGGTCTATTATAGAGACTCACTGGGTAATGTTGGCTGTTCAAGTTGGGCTTGGGGTGACCGGTTCCAGCCCCATAATCACCATCTTGATGATGGTGATTGAGTAATTGTGGTTTACTAGATTAGAAAGCAAATTGCCCGGTTAGATATTAGTCACATACGTATAGAAGAAAGGCTGCTTCATCTAGAGTGGTCACGTTCTTAACTGGTTGTTTGTCCAGAAAAGTTAAAATCAAATAATTAATTTCCGTTGGAGTTAAAGTTCTATGTCTAGGATAACAAACCGCTAAGTAGTAAGAAATATTCTTGATGAAAACAGCAGGAGATGCAGCGAAGTTGATAATTATTTTCTTACATGCTTTGACTGATCTATTGGGGTTGATTGAATGTTTGACTGATACGAAACGTCTGGTTTTATTAGTAGGGAATGAATGTACTTAAAGTTAAATAACGAACGAATCAGAAGAAAAAATTCGATTGAAAAAGCTCAGTTTTAACATGGCTTATTTTTAAAATTTGACAAAATATGCTTTTTTGATAAAAATATCGCATCGAATTTCCTTTCTATGCATTTTAGAATTAAAGATTATTTTCACCGTTTTCTTAAAACAAATTAAGAAATTGCCACTGCAAATAAAAAGGATGCATTTCTATATTTTTAGTTGATGGTATCGACCCTAAACTGCTAATATTATCAAGTGCAATGGGGTTCTTTCTCATATAATAGAAGCAGGTTAATTTAGTATAGAAACTAGATATTTTTTAATTTAGTTTTGTGCGAATCTTTGATTATATTACTTTTCAAGAAACATCCGTTCAGGCAGGAGAATTCTGCTTGTGAACGACTCAAAAAAATAACCCCAAGTAATTATTGTACTTGATCAATTTTTTCCTACTAAAAAAATTGCACAAATATTTTGTTTTCCGGTATCAAAACATTTTTCATTGCTTACTCACTCTCAAATTTGTCGCACTATTAATTTGAAATAGTTTAGGATTTTCAATACAATTGAGAAATAATGATAATAATTGTTTTTTTTTATATTATACAAACCTGTTGTGATGGTTGGAAAAAGGAGGCCTATCCACATTATTTGATTCTGGATGACTGTCCTCAAAACTATCATCAGGTGGGTAGATACTAACTAGATGGTAAACGTCGGGATCTTTATGGTTAATGCAAGTTAAGAATACTTTAGGTTAGTAAATATCAAAAGAAATGGGTACATCTGTATGCATATATACAATGCCCTTCTACTTAATCCTACTAATTGTTTTTTAAATATTAACACTTTGCGGAAAATTTAATTCTGTTACTGGGAGATTCTTAGACGCATGTCCCACGTTGCATTTGCTAATTAAAAATCGTTTAAATTTGCAGTTAGAAAATATTAATCTGATTACTGGTATTCGCTGTTGAAATATTTACTATTGATTCATAAGTGACTCAAAAGGAAAGAAAATGTTGGAAAATTGAATTTAAACCATTTCTCCAGTTTACCTGAATAGGAGATTTGCGAAAATGGGAAAATGCGTAGATGGGATTTTCCCAGAAAAACCCAAAGAAATTCTCTGTTTCAGCCCAAGGCTATATCTATTTATTTAACGCGAAATACAGACAAATTTAAATTAAATTCACTGTGATAGTTGATAGTGTCCAGTCCGTACCAAACTAAGCGCAAATTATGAACCAGATTAACAGCAAATCTAATTTCAATTAAAATATCGCCAACATTTGAAGCGTAATCTCAAGAAGAACATTTTGAACAAGTGAAAGAGCGATCTTCTCATCTAGAATTAACTTCAGAGAGACTAAAGAAATCTTTGAACTGACTTAAATGAAAAACAATCTATATTAAGTACCAGAAATATTAGCAAATTCGTTTTTAGCGACTTTTTAACTATTTTTACAGTCTCATTCTGAGAATTGTTTCTAATAGCCACTTTTGTATGCAATAATTAATAGACAAACAGGAACTTAATTATTACCACTGATTTACGGAAGACTTGTAAAAATGTATTTCACTTATGAAAATTTTAAGAATCTATTGGTTAATATTGACAAAATCTCAGATAGGTTCTCAATATTTGCTATCTCAGAAAATGCAGATTTTAAACTCTATAGCTAACATTAAAACCGCAAAGTTTTCTCTGAATAGGTAACCCAGAGAAGCCACGTGAAAATCACGATGGCACTATTTCAGTTCGTGCTTCTTGATAACGTTAGTGGACTAGAGCGAATAGCAGCTAAACTTCCCCGGAGCTAAAATACGTCATTTCACATGTTAATTTAATCATAAAGTGCATCGTTTATATCCCTGGGGCAACATCAGGGCCTTAGCTAAATGAAGTTTCATGGTTCAAGCAAATATAGTGCCTTATAAATTAATATGCTGCTCGGCTAGCTAAAGTTTATGAATTTAATGTATTTGCACAATGTGGCATATTTTATAACGACATTTACGATCACTGTGGTAGAATGGCAAAGGTGCAGTATTTTGAATCCCAATGAGGCCATTAGAAAAGTAACTTTAACTTAAGTAACTTTCTGGAAGTGGATCACAGTTGCTCAAAGTTACCAACCAAAAAGAAACTATTGTAAACTAAGAATGCATCATCTAGTTGCTCTGGATTGGTATTATTTTGATATCGGATTATCAACTAAAACTTACTAGCATTATGTAGGACACCTACGTCAGATTGATGAGTAGGTGCGGATCCGTGTCCTTCTGAAGTATCCCTATCCACACAACAAGCCCAAATCATTCCACCTGAGCAAAGATCCAGGGGCCTTCCTCCTCCCAATACGCAGGAAATGCTGAGCCCACATTCATATTTTACTCCTCGGTAACGACATGATTGAGGTATCACTGAAAAAAATGTTCAAAATTAAAACGAGTAGGTGGTTGCTTTGCGAGATAATTTATAGTGTAGAGATCCATAAAATTCTGAACTGACTACGTATTAGTGCCCCGCATAAACTGAAGAAAGTCTCAGTTTTAGAGAGTATCGTAGGCGAGAAATGAGATCTTTCAGCAAGTCTTACAAAACATGTAATTCGTTTTAACTTTCACCCAACTATAACTAACTCTTTAATTAATTGCAAGATTCCCCGAGACGTTTATTTTAACTATTTTTTCGCTAACAGTTTCTACATTTGCGTTGTTTCATCGATTTAATTGCGATTTGCTTTGAAGAAAATATAAGCCTGACAAACGGTGCTTAACTCACATTCGTTAATTTCACAMTAAACGTTATAATCGTTACATCGTTCGAATACTAAACTACTATTATTCCTTATASTTTAAGTGGAAGTAATAGTAAATAATKARCTTCAAAAAGGTGTAGTAGAAAAAAATTGCCACGTGTRTTAAGTATCTATGTTTTATATTCGGCAAAACTTTATTATACAAAACTTACACTTTTATGTATAATAGATTTTTTAGAGCTAAACTTTAAGACGCAAGATAAATTGAAATATACAGTTTTGAAATAAGAACATTTCTGAATAAAACTCGGTGTCTATTTTTAACCAAAATCCTGTATAAAATAATATGCAGCAGTCGAGCGTTATTAATATTTTTGTCAAATCTATACAATCAACTTTTTAGTCCTCAAAAGATTAGTCATTTTCCTTGTACGAGTCTGCTTTCGCTATAAATCGTTGAATAAAAACAAATAAAGGTTGTAAAATGCTCTTTACACTAAAAAGCTATAAAGTAGTAAATTTTTTGTTTGGCTGATTTTCGACTTTGTTGACGATCTTAATTTAAGAGATTTAAAAGATATACACAAGCAAACTAGAGCTGAATTCGACGATTTTATTCGGTATATTAGATTTGAAAACAGCACCTAAACGAACAAAATTCTGAAACCATTCATGATTGATCCTCAGCTGAACACGCTGTACCGATGGTTGTACGTTGATTGTATTGATGTCGTATGTTGACTTGTATAGATGATGGTTCTGATGATCAGAACAGTGTAAGCGTTCAAGCAAACCTCTTCTGAAGATGCAAGCCACTCGTGCTTGCGAAACGTTAAGAAGAAATTCTACCGAACGACGGCCTAAAAACCCGAAAAACCCATTAGTTTCAAAGAATGGCCTCGAAAGTCTATCTCTTTTGATAAAAATTATTTTGATCTATCGCATATAAAAGCAATCTTACATTAGCATTCACTGACATGCTTCTGAATTTAGGTACTCAATCAACTTTCCCATGATAAAACATCAATCATTTCCTGTCCAAAGCCAACTGCAAAAGTATATAATATTAATTTAAATGATTTTGTTGAGTTAGAATGCACATGGAGGCTTTAAATCAAGAGTAATAATTTATTGTTGTCGCCATCAAATATAATACTTACCCAGCGAAGTCAGTCTTCAGCAACATAAAGCACTAACGAGCACATTGTAACCACTAATCTACTGTACTTTTACCTCATTTTAAGTTACTAGCACTGCCTACTTAAATAACTTTAACAACTATTAAGTCAGCTTTCTTTATTTAATATTTATCGAGGAAAGTTTAAAATTTCAATATCCCGTTTAGCCTTGCAAGGCCACTATTTATATTCACAACATCCTCGAATTATGTTTGTCACATGTCAAGTGCAATAAATCTTGGATTAACACACTATTTTAGAAACCCACATGTTAACAAATAAGCCTCATTTTCCCAAACTACTAAAAAAATTTCCCAAACTACTAAAAATTTCATTACCAACAAATTGACACCGTTTCAAGTTTTTCCTAGATATGGTTTACATCACTTACTTCTCCCCAACATGTCCATTAGGGAATCTTGTGTGCCTGAAGGCACTCCACCTCTTTTGCCCAAGGTATCCAAAAGTAACAGTTCCTGAGCCTGTTTCTCATTGGGTAACGTTCTTACACTGTTTATCACTGTCGAAATTATCACTAGCACAAAAGTCAATAGATTTAGTTGATATGTTAAGTTTGCTGTGGATCTGCAGTTATTTTTCGGTGCTGACAACATTTTGCTCAATTGGTTTGCCTAGTGGTGGAAGAAGTTTGAATGAATAAATTGAAAAAAAAAAAACTGTCCTAGTTCTAAAGATAGTTTTATCCCATTGTAACTCAACTTCTTGTTGCAGTTTTAAACTAAGAAACATTTAAATAAGTTGCAGATCATTTGAAAATGTTTTAATCGTTCAGAGTAACAATAATTTTTTGCAATCATTAGAGCGCCGATGTCTTTTTCATATACCTTGGGGATGGTATATACATTACACATTTCGCATTCGAAAAAAGCTATGGACTGAACATCAATTGAAAATTGAAAAAAAATAGGTATTTTTATAGAATTTAGATCAATGGAAAAACAGATTGACTTAAATTTAAAAACATACCTACTTACATTCATTTAATTCTATTGCTACTCTTCCTACTGATGCCAATATTTTTGTTCGGTTCAATTTTTTCAGCTGCTGATGTTTTAATACATTTAGTACACACTTATGATACGGATAATAATGAAGACATAAATAATAACAGAAATTAATAACATAAAAAAATTGATAATTAATCCAGCATCAATAACATTTTCTTCATTGATTGTGTATAACAGCGAAAATCGAACTATTAAATTACTGAGGATCCAATTTCAACTAGTTTGTTTTTCATTTATAATTTCCACTATCACTAAAACAAATTTATTAAGCAACAGTTTATATATTTTACTATAATATGCTTATTTCTGTTCTGTTAAAAACTGGTTTCTGTTTTTTGATTTATTCGCATTAAATTGCTGCTCGACTTAAGCACAACCTGATAGCGATAAAATGAAGACACATATATAGACTGAGATAGATATGAAAATATTTACAAAAAAAAACATATTTGTATCTTGGTGATAAAATGGAAAAAAGGATTGGGAGTGAAGACATTATCATATGAATAAAAATCTGTTACGAATACTCCATCTAAAATGGTTTCAAGTTTTAGCATATTTTTACGCACTTTTCTTTCAATCACTTTCTTTTTCAAATCTTGTACCTTTGAAAGTAGTGATTAGCAGATTTTCGTACCAACCATCGGCTTGACATCTGTAGTGATAAAACTTTTGCCTCTCAATTAAATTTTGATTTACAAACAAGTACACATCTGGAGCATTTTTTTTTAATTTAATAGGGATAAAACTATCAATATGATCTTTAAGAAAAAATATATTTTTTCAATTTACCAAAATAATCACTAAAACAGTCACTATAGATCCACCCCCACTAAACTCAGTTATTCACTAACTACACTACTACATTGCTCCCAACGGCCCACCAACTGTCGTCTGATCCCCTAGTGAAAATGAAACTGCTACCAAAGAAGTTGAGGACTTTCCATCGAGAGTACCTTGACGGAAACCCAAACAAATGAAGACGATTCGACTGGCATTTGATATGGTTCGCTGCAGTTGGTGGTAAGTGAAAGCGGAGAATTTATTCCTCCTTATATAGTCTGAAGTCTTATGGTTCACTGTGCTGTTTCAAGAATAAAAATTGTTTTTGTTGAACCAAAATTAATCTAAGTAGCCAATCACAACAGTCAGTTAACTATTCGGGAGTATGTTTGCTCAAAACAACTGAACATGTAGATGATACAGCAACATTAGATTTTATTGCTCCTAAAAAATCTTATCATTATTTTTTATCTGCTGTATATAGTTTAACAGTTGGGACCGTCTTTTTCTATTGTGACTTTCTTATTTAATATCTTTCGTCCTAATAGTGCAGTCATTTTTCAATGCATACTTTATTAAATACTTCGTCTAATGGAATACAGCTTTGACTGTTTGGGTGATTATCACAATGCTTGAATCAGCTATTCTCATTCTAATAAGTCAGTTAATTTCAATTAATATTTGCATTTCAAACGCATATTTATAAGCGTTTTAAATGCAAGTTGAATAATTGCAAATAATTTATAATAGTAGTAAATATTATTATAAATTATAATTACTTTGTTCCATATCTTATTAATACTTTCATGGTCTCCTTTGTGACTTTTTCACTGCTTCACTGCACAACAACTTTTACTACTTGCAACAAGCAGAATATTTTCCGTGTCTGAAGAACCCATTTGAGATAATCCTTTACGCAAAACCAGGTGAAACCCTCTTATGCTTTTCTGTATAGGCTCTTGCACTATAAGAAATCGTACAATTCGCCGGCAAAGTTAATGAAGAATAGCACAAAGGATTGCTCTAATTGACAGAAAAGTATTTGTAAACAGACAAGGTAATGCGATTGTAACGAGCGTTATGCGTTAGGATTATTAGCCTATGAAAGAGATATTGTTCCGGTAAATCCAAAGCCCATCAATTTCGAACCCAAAATGAAGAAATGTTGTCGAATTTAATGAATAGAGCATATGAGGCAATTGTTTGCCTCGAATGCATTCGCTGCTTACGGAAACAGAACTGTTATCTAGACAGGGAAAAAGTGGACTAAACATTTTTTGTTAGGATTCATACATATTTCTATTAAAAAAGTATTGAAAAGTATATACGGCCGTATGAAGTGTCCAAGTGATTTTTTTGCGAAGGTTGAGGATACATTGAAGTGTTAAATACATTAACTGTTAGGTTGATCGAAGTAGATAATATTTAATTCATTTTTAAAATATGGACTAATCAATACAGTTATATTTTATTTTCTAAAATTGGTTTACTTTACTTCAACTGTTGTTTTAAATAAAATTATAGTGCCTATTAAACTTTTCCGGACGTTTCCAACATTTATACAAATATTCCAGAAT